CTTTCTTTTCAATAACACTTTTCCATCTGTCAAATTTTAACTGCAATTCTTCCATGCTATCAGCCATCAAGACTAAATCATCTGCATACAAAATCTCAAATAACAACCCCTCCATTATGTTTCCACACACAACATCCATCATAATTGCAAACAGAAACGGTGATAACACTGATCCTTGATGCACTCCTACCTTAACACTAAAAGCGTCCGACATCCCCCTTCCAACCCTCACCTTTGTCTTTGCCCCTTCATACAGCTGCATCACAGCTTTAACAAGTCTCTCATTCACTCCTTTCTTCCTCAACGCCCATTCAATGACCTTCCTCGGTACTCGATCAAAAGCCTTTTCTAGATCCACAAAACACATGTACAATCTTCGTTTCTTCTTTCTATAATTCTCCTGCAACATTCTCGCCATGAACAACGCATCCACCGTTCCCCTACCAGGCATAAACCCACACTGCATTTCATTAACTGTCACCATACTTCTCAACCTCCTCTCAAGCACCCTCTCCACTACCTTCATTCCGTGCTCTAGTAATTTCACACCCCTGTATGACCCACAATCTCTCACATCTCCTTTGCCCTTATACAACGGCACCAACACACTGTGTCGCCAATCCTCAGGTATACCTTCATCATCAAACATACTTTCATACCAGTTGATTTCATACCACTTGAAAATTAATACTCAGACACGTGGATGTGTTGTGCTTGTGATGCTTCCGTTAAGTACCATAGAAGTACAGTGTACATTTTGATGTACATACAGTGATAAGTGCCTCGCGTACACAATGCACATGTCGATGTATGTATGTATGTATGTATGTATGTATGTATGTATGTATGTATGTATGTATGTATGTATGTATGTATGTATGTATGTATGTATGTATGTATGTATGTATGTATGTATGTATGTACTGTATGTATGTATGTATGTATGTATGTATGTATGTATGTATGTATGTATGTATGTATGTATGTATGTATGTATGTA